TGTAATATGCACAACCTCATGAGGATTGAAGAGTTGGGCGTAATTGAAAATTTGCCATCAAAAAATCAATTCCCCCCCCCCCCCTCCGCCCCGCCCCCCCCTGTTTTTTTTTGGCTTTTTTTTGGTTGAATGATCACAGTGAAATTCATGCAAAAAACTCATCGGTTTCAAATAAAAAAATATGAAAAGAAATGCATCAATTTCAGGGCGTGAGGATGGCCGCCTTTAAGGGTTGAGGACGGTCTACTCGGGATGGGTAAAAAAACAGTGACTCAGGGTTAGAGCACTTGACTCGGCGTGGAGGAGACGGTTGCCAACGGTGTGAGTAACGCGGTGAGGGATGCGCCTGGTGAGGGTTGAGGACGGTTGTCTGCGGGTTGAGTCGCGTGGCTCAGGTTGAGGACGCAGCGCTTCAGCGAGTTGAGCACTGGTTGGCTCGGATTGAGCACAGCTGGCTGCGACGTGAGAATGGTCCTCGAGCGGTTGATCTGTTTGTTGTTTGATATTCTCTTCTTTTTGTTGGACGGAGGCAGTGGGATGAGGGGTTTTGTTAAATTTTCCTTTTGCTTTTTTTTATTGTTGCTGGCTGGACGTGTTGAGGAGTTGGATAATGGCTTGATTTAAGTTTGGGAAAACACTACAGGCACACTCCCAACCACACCTTGGGGCACACCCCTTCTCTCAGCTACAGTGCACGGGACCCAATTTAAATTTTTTAAAAAAATCTAAAGTGGGTCCCGTGCACTGTAGCTGAGAGAGAGGAAGTGTGCCCCAAGGTGTGGTTGAGGTGTGCCGGTAGTGCCACTCTTAAGTTTGGAGTACATGTATATATATTTTGTTGCTTTGACCAAGAGAGATGGACTTTCAATCTTTACTTTTTTTCTATGCTTGGAGTGGGTGCGCAGAGGGATCCTCCTTCCTTTTATTTTGGCTCGGTGCCTGTGGTGGTACGGCCAACGAGAGAAGAGAAGGCTGATAAGGATTTTTTCTTTTTTTGCTCTCGGGAATTTTTTGGCGCTCAGCCTCAACATGCACAAAGCACGGTCCTTGTCCTGCAGCCCCTGCGAGACCTGCTTGGATAAGTGTCTCGCCCTGTTGTTGCTCTCCTAGAGCTTGCGCTTGAGCCTGTCGATCTCAAAGGACTTTCAGGCATCCGAGGCCTTCACACCCTCGATCATTTGTTCCCGCACCTCCATCTCTCGACGTCAGTTGTCCATCTCGTCCTCCTTGGCCGATAGCTCCTTGAGGGCTTTCTCGAGGTCGGTCCCCTCGTCAGTCTGGCGAGCTTCCAACTCCCCTTGAAGATTAAGATAGGAAGTTTAGATTCTCTCGGCCGAAGATTTCTTACTCCACGAGAGCCCCGCGAACAAGTAGCTCCGGAGGCTTTGATGGAGGCAGACATTGGGAACTTTCCCCAAAATCTCTACATCACGAGGAAGCCAGAACTGCTCCACCACTCTCGATTGAGCAATTCGAGATTCAAGGACCAAGCCCCTCATATCGAGATGGTGGCCAGGCTGGTGGCTATGCTATTGAGATGGCTCCCTAGTACACCGAGGGCCGACACGTGAGGACCCTATCAGAAACATCATCATCCTCTCCCAAGCTTCCGACCAAACCTTGTCAACATGATGAGGATACAAATAATTTAAACCCTCTGTAGGAAGTGTCTCCTCTCCGACTGGCTCTTTTTCCCGGTGACGAGTCAACTTAGCTGGGACGACAGGAGCCCTCTCCTCCCTTGTCTGGGCCTCGGTTCCGACCCTGGCCTCATGATTGGCCTCTTCCTCCTCTTCCCGAGCTAGAGACCCCTCATCCACATGGATGACTTCGGCCTCGCCTATCTCAACCGCCCTTCCAAGTCCTCAGCTACTGATCATTCAGGGTGCCTTCATCATCCTCTCCGCTTGAGTGGCCGAGGGCGCTGGTCTCGCCAATCTGGTCGATAGCTTCCTCGGGGGCCAAGTCTTGATGAAGGCGCTTCGCTGGCCTCGCCAATGGTCCTTCTTGAGGCTATGCGAGCGGAGCTATTGGCGCCAGAAGCTTCTTCTGGAGGGATGGTTAGCCAAACCGCTGTCTCTTGATCCTTGGTCGTAGGAGGCACGACAAATATACCGACCACTAGCAAGACAAAGTTATCGAGTAAATGCTCCATCTTGCGAGAGCCAATGTACATCCTAATATGATCCAGAGCCTGCCTCTCTACACTCGACAGATCGTCTGCCGTCAGGGCCTCCCTCACTATTTCGAGTCAATTGGAGCAGCACAAGTTCGAATCGTCTCCTTCCAGTCTTTGTTCGAGTCGGGGAGGTCAAGGATGATCTTGAATTTACCCACCGCCTGGAATTGAACATGAGCTTCTTTCTGATGCACTTTGACACTAATTAGGTGGTCCAACATGTTCAGGGACGGTTCGATCCCTAGCCAGCTGTGGATCACCACGAACCCCACTAGCATCGTGATAGCATTCGGCTTCATATGCATCAGTGACACCCCTAGATCAGTAAATACGCGACAGAGGATGAGGTGTAGAGGCAGATGCAAGCCGAACTCTATGTGTTTCAAGTAGAGGGGATCCTAACTATCATTGTGATCATAAACCGCCTGTGACCTTGTCGGTGCCATCAACCTATAATCGCAGGGGATATCATATTTCCCATGAAGAGATCTTAGTTGGGGCAACGTCACTTTGGAATGGATCTCCACCAACAATTCCTGTCTAACGTTGAGAGCAGGGGCTGCCATTTGCACTAACTATGGATTATCGCCAGAGAAGATGATCGGAGTACTCCGCAAATTCAGATTCAGAATTTTAAAAAGCAATAACCGCTCCCTCGCCACCATAACCCTACTTATATATAGTTGGACCGCCAACTGTCAAAATCATAACGGACAAGCTGAATCCAAATCAACAGCCCAAATTAATTTTAGAATTCCAAGCAGCCTCTCCCGAATCAAGACAAAACGTGCTCACCTTAGATAGCCCATAATCCTGCACAAAGCGCGAAACGACGGCAGTTGAAAAGTGTTCGCTGACGTCAGTCACGTCGCATCTGAAGAACTTTTTAGATCCCCCTCATTAATGTTCATCGTGACTCAGAAAGACCCATGTCATTTCACTCGGACCCGGTCTAGGCCGACTCTAAGTAAAATGGGCTAACTATTATAGCCGTTTTAGTGCTAAAAAGTAACCTCCAATCAATAGTAGGCGAGTGTCCCACATTATGTGTAATCGAGACAGCTCTTCACTTCAAGATAACCAAAGACCCAGCTCGGATGACCCGACACGCCGACATCTCACGAGGGCGACTCAAAAGACGTTACATGTCGACCCCTACATTGGTCGACTTCTTGATCAACCTACTCGATTGACCATTCGGCCGTCATCCCACGAAGGCGATTCAAAAGGCGATATCTCGACCATCTACCGGACGAGTAGAAAGGCGATGACTACCTCGAGCCTCGAGCCCCCTCCCGCGCACTAACGGCTGATCATCTCACAATAAATGCCATTAAATGCATAATGGGCACCATCAGTTCTTTGTCCTTAATAGTCTTTATGACATATCAGACCATGTTAACACCGCACACCTCCAGTCACTTCATATTAAATGCGGAAGTGACCTCCCCTCCACTCATCGGCCGACACTTGTAAAGCTTGGCCGCCAGCCCATACTAGATCGAAGTTACCATCCTACCCCTCTACTGTCACTATAAATAGGAGTACTATTTTTAACAAAAAAGTAAAATCTTTATCTCTACCCATAGTGTTTAAGAACTTCTATAGTTCACTACTTCTCCACTCAAGCAAATTATGGACTTGATCGTCGGAAGAATAACCGGAGAAACCAACTCCACCCTCTTACGATCTTCTACATGTGCAGGGAAGAACAACCCACTTTAAAACCGAACATTCAAAGGGTTAGAGAACCTCCGTCAACCAAATAACTTCTCTCATTGGTTGTTTGATATCCGCCATCAACAAACCTTAATCAAATCCATCCATAACATTCATCAAATTCACAAGTAAAGAGAGCAATTTTTCACCTTGAGAGACGGGGTTGGTGGAGGCGGCTTGGTGGGGGCAGGCTTGGAGGACGACGGCTTGGTGGACGGGGCTTTGTGGATGTTGGTGGAGGCGGCTTGGTGGGGGCAGGCTTGGAGGACGACGGCTTGGTGGACGGGGCTTTGTGGATGAGGCCGTGTGGACGTGGCTTGGTGGAAGGTGGCTTGCTGGACGAGCAACGGAGGCAGGCGAGCATTGGACGAGTTCTGGAGGCGAGTGAGCGGGCGCAAGAAGTTGGGTATGAGTAGACCGGGTTAGGGCGCGGGCGAGTGGGTTAGGACACTATGGCTGTATTATATAGTCTAGATATAGATGGGATTGATAATCCCGTTGATTCCTAAACAATGGCTAATCACACGACTAGTAGTCCCGTGAAAATTAAAACTTATGTTTTGCAAAATCGACCTCATTTTAGAGTCGACTTTGCTAATTTTATTATCAAATGGTCCATTTTGCTTATATTGTTTTCGAAAAGGTTTATTTTAAAAATTTCTCCATCATTTTTCTCTTGTTGGATAATATTTTTTCTCAAGCACTACAATGTAAAATATTGGCCGATATAGTGTTTCAGACTCGCTACAAGCCATGCGTATCATCCAACAAGAACGACAAACATGTTTTGATATTGTCTTTGTGCTAACGCACGTCATCAATCTTCAATTTAACATTGAATTGGTCTAACGAGATGGAAAGCAACAGGATATTTGGATTTCTAAAGGATAGGACCCCTCCCGCCTTTAATCTTTTATTAACTAACAGCGTGATAACGATTATAGTAGCCCAGCTCACAGAACGTCCGATGCTGATCACATCCAATTTTATGACGCTGATTACACCTAAATTTATTAACTAATAGCGTGAAAATAGATATTATAGTTAACAAAATGTATGATGCTGATTACATCTAAATTCAATAAAAATTGTTCAAAGTCAATTATAACATACGCACGAGCCAACTCTTATGAATAATGGACCATACATTTATCACATCAGCAGTCCCTTATTATAAGCCTCAGTAAATTTAAGATTTCCTACAGTCCCTGTAATCCCCTCTAATATACAAAATCAAGTAGCTGCTTAAAACACGAACTAAAAAGCCAACCTGATGCGAACCAGAGTTGACGTCAGACAAGCATCTACAAGCATTAATTATTAGCATGCACAAGCTGAATAAATCTCCAAAACTATCTATTTACAGTCAGTAGGTCAGTCATGAAGACAAAAAAACATAAAATTGTATGGATTCAAACTTTCGATGAGCCAGAAGTCTTCGTTGCTGTCGAAACCAAGATGAAAGCCAAAGGGACGACTGACCAGCTGCAAAAGACAAGATCTTGTCAAAATGATTGGATGATAACAAGAGGAAATTAAGTGCACTAATTTCATTTCAGAAAGCTTTACCTTAAACCAAACAGGAAGAGATCCTAGCTTTAATACCGAGTATCGTCATGGATAACTGAGTAATTACCACTATTATCTTCAATCTCATCAGAAGTCACATAGCTGTTGCTAGCATACTTGGACTTTCTTCGAGCCTGGAAGAAGACAAGAAGTTGGGTGAGGACAAAATTTCAGGTACTTTTGTATAATAAAGATGGATACAAACAGAAATTTTGAGAAATTTATTAACAAGAGAAAATAGATACAAAAAAAATCTACAAAACAGACTAATCTACATTTATGAATCAAGGTGTCACACTGCTCTAAGATGATCATGTACTCCAGTAAGACGATGTTGACATACTACGAAGATGATTGTGTAAGGCGGCAGAAAGTGTCCTTTCACCGTGTATCATGAAATAGTATGATAAGGCGGTAAAGAGTGTCCGCATCTCACTCATTGTGTATCATGAAACATGCTCTCATTCAGTTCATTCCTAACACCTAATATACAAATAACAGACAAGAACAACACAATCTCATTAGTTAAGGAAATGCCATGGGAAGTTCTGGCACTAAAAGTCCTAAAGCGTTGCAATTGTTGATGGAAACTGAAACTTCTCCAATCATTTACAAATGTTACTGTGGTAACAATACTGACTGAGCAAATATGATCTCTGATATTTATTTCCAATTCAAGTAAATACCAGGAAAAATAGGAAGAGAAAGTCATACAGAATCGAGTGTACTAGACTACAAAAGAAATCATCCTACCTTCATAAATCATATTATCATTTAAACTACATGCATGAATGGCAGTTATATCTACCTAACAGAAAAGTCGAGTTAGCTACTTAAAACTAAAAAACTTACTCAATTGGCATCTTTTTACGTCGGTCAAAATGGGATTGGCTATGCCTAACCATAAGTATATAACTATTCTTAAAAGCTTGACAACAGCTTAAAAGCTTGACAACAACAGAAAGCATCTTTTATCTTAGGGATATGTAAATAAGTATAAAGTATATACATAATAAAAATGACATAGAACTAGTTCCAAAAGTCAAATAAAATAGATTAGATCATTTACGTGTTGCAAAGTTACGGCTGTTGATAGGTTATAGAACATAAAAGAACTAGATTCAGCAACCATACTGTCATCATGGTTTAATACCTTCATTCTCTCTTTGCTTATAAACTTCACATGTAGACAATGTAACAGTATGATTTATCAGTGTCAAGTGTCAGGCACGTTAGAAATACATCACAAAATCTGGTAAAACTATTCTCAAGATAGTTGAAGCAAGTTGACTTCAAGTATGTGAAATGAAACTATGGACATGCAACTGTCAGCCCAGGAATATATAATATGATGATGCTTATAATACACAACAAGGGAATAAACTTTTCTTTTCTAAAATTACATCTACATGTTGGAGAACCAACTGCTCTCAATTCACGAGGCTTCAGGACTAGGCTTACCTTGGCTATGAGCTTTTCAAATGCTTCTGGGCCATTCTCTTGAATATATATCTCTGCAGCAGATAGAATATCATCTGGTCTACTGAAGACATCCTTATTACGAGGCATGCCCCAGATATGTATTGTCTGCTGGTTCACAAAGAACGGCCTCACATAATGCTGATAAACATATGATGCTCCGCTGAAGTAGGGCAAGACTAGCCAGCAGTTAAATATCAGCTTGGCATAAGGCCAAAATGGAAACCTGCAAAAGAAAAATAATAAACAAAATAAAAATGATGAAGCAGTATTCACTGTTCAGTATTACTATCTAAGTGTTCATGTGATGCCTATTGCAAGTGTGGGATGCCAGAATGAAAGGAACCATGGGTTGAAATAGTTCTAACATGTAGCATGAAGATACAAAGTTGATGTTTTGAAATGGAAGAGAGTGAAACTGATGTGAAACGGGCCAGAGGGTCTATCAGAATCAGTGATTTAAAACGAATAATGCATTTTTTCACCAAATTTCATGATCTTTGGTGAGAAATTAAATTCAAAACAACTAATGTGATAGATGGATTTAACAAAATTTGCATCAATAATTATGAATAAATCCAATCTCGATCAATTTAGCTGCAATATTCATTATCATGCTCAAGTTCTACAATCAATATCAAATTTAAACAGTCACATGATCAATTACTCTCAACTCACAAATATAATTTAAACAGTGAATATATGATAAGAGTTTAGAGGTGGAATGCAATTAACTAATCAAACGAGATTAACAGAAAACTAATTTTCTAGTCTATCAAGTGGTGACGATCCACGGATGAACTGGCGACGACAACGGCGTCGAACTGGCAACGACGACGGCGAACTGAGCAACGACAACGACAGTGAACTGAGCGACGACGACGCGTGCGGGCGACGGGACAAAGCGACGTCGGGCTGGACGATGCGATCAGCTGTAGGATCGGTGGCGGCTGCCCGAGTTGAAAGAAGGCAGGGGAATTCGCCGGTGAGGGGAGCAAGGGAGAGATCGTCGGTGGGGCTTGCTCGAGTTGAAGGAGAGCAGGAGAGGGATCGGGAAGTTGTTGGGAAAGGAGGCGGTGGCCTATGGTGGAGGGGAAGGGCAGTAGTGGAGGAGGCGATGGTTGTGGGGGAGACGACGAAAGTGACAGAGGACGCGAGTGGCCTGTTGGGTCGAGGCTTGTGGGTGTCGGGGTGACACAAGCGACGGCCTCGAACATGGCAAGAGGAGGAGGTGAGGGCTGGGCGCAATTGCTGTTGGAGACGAGGAGGCTGCTCGACTTGCGGGAGAGTAGGAAGGGGTGGGGATGTTGGCGCTATGGAGGAAGAGGAGAGCGGGGGTGTTGGCGTTTGTTTTGGGAGCGACATGAGATGGAGTGGGGGCTGACAGAAATTGAAGGGCAGTTGGTGGCTGGCAAAGAAAACAGCGGATGTTGCCTGAGGGTGGCTGCTTATGGAGGGGAGGAGCTAGGTGTTGGCTAAGTAGGAGGAGGAGAGGTGAGTTGGCGGCTGAAGAAGAGAATACAGGGGATTTCGGCTGTTTGTGGCAGAGGAGAAAAGTCAGCCTAGGGTTTCACACCTAAGGCTTCACACCAAATATCAACTAACAAAATATTTCATTCAATTCTTCGTCATTCTTTCATTCTAATTACAACAGTGCTTTTATAGAGCAATCACAAAATCTCTCAAAATCAATCAGATTCCTCAAATCACTCAGATACTAAAAATTGATTAACTACTAAACTTGACCCAAAATTCAAAATTCAAAATTCAAAAATTAAAATCCTACCAAAATAGAAAAATCCCTCAAATTTCTCACAATTAAACCTAAATTAAGATCTGATCAAACTTGCCAAATCTTCCTTATTCAAAACTAAAATAAAAGAAAGTCAAATAACAAATATGGAAATTACCATTATTGTCCTCATTAGAAACTAAAGGTACATCATGATGACTTTTCTGCCAAAAAATATTATTTATATACTCTAACTCTATAATATCACTAACAAGCACCAATATGGATACAATATGAGAAAGGGAAATCATAATTTTTGAGAGTTACATTACCTCATGAACTATGCAAGACATAGCATCAGTTTCAAGTAGTATGTATTGAAGTGGTGGATCTTTTAGCTCCATATCGCCGTGGAGGAAAAATCAACACATATTCATCTTTCTACTTGGTTTGAGATTAAAAAATGAAATACTTCTTAACTGAACTTCTATGACCTCCAAAGTGGTAGCAAAGTTGTTGCATTCTATTAAGAGCGTAATTTATTAGCCAACTCAACAGTATTATCTAGTTTATTTTGGCAGGACGACTTGGTTCAGTGAGTAATTCTTCTAAATATTCATGCAATTATCCCCATGTGTCATGCATGTGTGTGATATAGTGGATTTCAGGTACAGATAACAGTGGTGAGGTTCACCTGCTCCAATTTAACTTAAAAGATGAGTGTTAACCCCAGTCTATCTCTTGGTAACTCATTTGGCGAAATTAGCCGCCACCTATCCTATAGGGCTTTTTCCATACATAACCCACAATCTACAAAGGGAGGGAGGGAGATGGGATGCAATTATAAGATACCGATTTATTCTGTCACTCTGTTTCTCTCCCTCTATCCAATTATAAGCTAACAAAATAAATAACTTAACAAGGGGTATATTTAATGGTGATTTTGAAAATTGAGGGTTAGAGAAAACCAATGTGGGAGATTTAGAGGATGAATTAGTAAACATCTTGACTTGGGGTATATATGCCAAAAAAAACTTTCATGTATACACGCTAGCTGCATCATGAATGTATTAATTATTTGAAAATTAACCCAAAAAGTTCTTAAGCTATTTAGTATGTAAAGCAGCATGAAACAACATAGTAGAGTACCATACCATTCGATTACTTTTGCAAAAGTAAGCTCAAAGAGTGTAATAAGAGAATACAACACCCAATAAGTGAGCCACTGTTGATCATCTATGGGAGATTTGGTTTCTATTGCCTTTACTGAAGCATACCTGCTTAATCCCAAAAAAATTTAATCAGACATACATTTCAAACATACCTATAAAGTAGGAAAACAATCAAAAGTTCAATCATTACTTACAAAGGATAAACAAGCGTAATCAAAGGCCTGCAAATTAAGGACAAATGTCAAATTAAAGATAGAAGCAAACAAATTAACTAAACAAAGAGTATCTGTGTGTCTCCAAATCATAATTTAAATATTCTACAAAGTAAGATTTTGTTTTAGATAGAGATGTAGATCATTCTACTTCCTGAGTCACATACATGGAACCCTGTGATATAAAACTACAGAGCGGCACTGCAATCCTAGAAACCAATAACTTCACGTTGTTGTAAAGCTAACTAGAAAAAAGAACTGTCATAGAACAATCTACAATTTTAATCTTTCTGGTCATAACATTCCACAGAAACAAGGCCCTTGTTTGTAAGCTTTACTCTAATAAGCAACACAGTAAGAGAATTGTTATCACTTACCAACCAAACCTTGACTATTGTGTATTCCGAAAGAAAGCACAATAACATTAAAAAAAGATAACAAAATTGAATCATGTTTAATCTGTTAGTTCCATTAATGATCCGATACATCTAGGATAACTAGTATATGTCATGAAATTTGGACAGCGAAAGGTGTATGACAGTATCAAATCTACCTATCTCATTCATCTCTTAAATGTCAAAGAGTAGCAATATTGGAAGAAAGACCAGTTGAAAAAGAGACAAGATTCCTCTTTTTATTATACTGATAAATATAGTTTAGTTATGAAGGAATAAGCACAATTACAATCAATTATAACATCCTATCATGTTTTTCACATGAAAACTAATATGTAAAAGGGGGCTAATAATGGCTCCCATGAGACCCTATTCTTCAATAATAACTAACGCATTTAGCACATGCCCAATGTGTTGCAAACAACTCATCATTTATTTCTTGATATAACCTAAAATTGAGTTTTCATGGACACCTCATTTATGATTCCAAATTAGATTATCCTCTCTTCACATAAAACTGAAGGGCCTACTCCACTCAAATATTCTTGATATTTGCTATTAAGTGCTAAGTACCAGGTACACAATTCCTCGACATGGAGAACCCAATGTCATGGACGCCCTAGGTAACTAGGACACGGCGTTTGGCCACGTCCACATCCGACACGTGTCAGACACTGACTCTTCGTGGACACACCATGGATACATGTGGTTCAAAGCAAAATCCAATTTCCCCATTACTTATACCCTAAACTAGTTCCAATCGGTTTTTTTGTACTCGAAAACTAACACCCATTACTTAAATATTTAAAAACCATTCATTGCATCATCTCATGAGATCAAAACAAAACTTTTGTTGTTAAATCTTATTCTTAATTTTATTTAACTTGATTCTCAATGGTTATAGATAATAGGAAGAAACATACAAATGTTATATGTACTTTAATTCAATATTTGATTTAATGTAAATTTTATACATACAAGAACACACACGCACACACATATAGCCATGTCCCCGTATCCTACATTTTACATATTTGTCGTGTCCTATGTCTGTATCCGTGTCCACACCCGTGTTGGTGCTACCTAGCGGGTGCCTTGTTTTATCACACAACCTTGCCTTCCTGTACGACACTTAGCTCACTCTTAGCCCCCTAGAATATCTAATTCAGCCCACTCACCCAAACACTCAAGAACAAAAGAGAGTTTAGAAGGGGACTCGAGATTTTATTAATTAACTCTTCTTGGATACAAATGAGCTCCCCTCGGCCTCTTTATATAAGGGAGCCTCCCACTTATATCAATGACTTAGATTTCTCTTCTAGATAATTTTATACACTCAATGACTATGATTCATCATTCTAGAGAATTCAATACAAATATCTCCTTGATGCGGTCCAACAATGGGCTTTAAGGATGGCCAACTATAGCAGCAAGTTTTGCCCTTCGACTTGGTACATTCGCCACCTAATTCTAGTTGGTGCTTTCTAGCTGGTATTATAAAGTGTTGTTGGGAAACGACCAAGACATTTTGGCAACTTGATGGTTTGATAGAGTGCTTCAAGAGGGAAACGACAAAGCGATGAGGGCATCATAGAGATGAGTAGGGGAGAATGTCACAGACCACTCTATCGCCACATCAACGCTTATATCAGCATGACTATATATTTTTATATATACATGGTTATAAGATATATATGTATAGAAATCTCTAGAAGGATGAATCCTAGCCATTGACTGTATAGAATTCTCGAGAAGAGAAATCTAGGACATTGATGTAAATGGTAGGTTCCCCTATATAAAGAGGCCATGTGGGAGCTCATTTGTATCCAAGAAGAGCTGAGTATTAAAATCTCAATCCCTTCTAAACTCTCTTATGTTCTTGAGTATTTGAGTAATAGGCTAAACTTAGTCATTCTCGTGAGGCAAGAGTATGCTAAGTGCCGCACAAGAAGGCGAACTTGTATGATAAAACAAAGTGCCCGTGACACTTGGTACCAGAGCGGATTCATTCGTTGGAAGATAGCCAACCAGATATGACTAACGAGCAAAATGTGACTAAAGGCAACACTAACTCGAAAAAGGCCCTTGCTCAGAGGACCCGTGATGTGCTGATGACAATGGAGGCACGATTGGGTAAGGTGGAACTCACCATAGCTGATGCGAGGGATCAGCTTGAGGCTATGGAGGAACACATCAAGAAGCTTGAGTCTAACAGGGATGAGCTTCGAGCGAAGATGCAGATGACCTTGAACTCCACCATTGACATGTTGTAATATCAGTATGCTACCCTAGAGGTCCACAGTACTACGCTTGAGACTCAAGTGGAGAGTCTCATTAAGGTATTAGAAGAGCTCAAGGGTGATTACAACCAGTGCAAGGCGACCATGGAAAACGGGGAATTGTCATGCTAATGTTCAAACAAAGATGGAGGTGCCTAAGCTTAAGCCATACAGGAGTGCTTGGGATGCACGAGCTGGACAACTACTTATGGAACTCGAAGAGGTATATCAATGTTGTCAGCTGCACAAATGATGGTTCTAAGGTAAAGATAGCACCTCTCTACCTTCAAGATATTGCTACCATGTGGTGGTGTAGGTGATGCAATGATATACGACGTGGTTCGTGCACCATCAACATGTGGGAGAAATTCAAGACTGAGATCAATAAGCATTTTTACTTTGAGAATGCAGAGGACAAACCTCCAAGTAAACTTTAGCGCCTTACTCAAAAAGACACCATTCAGGACTGAGAAGGAGTTCTCGGAGCTACTATTGGAGATACAGAACATGAGTGAGAAGGGCTCTCTCTTCTTGTTCTTGGATGGCCTAGCTGGATGCACCAAAATGGAGCTATAGAGTTGAGGCACTAAAACCCTTACACAGGGATGGCCGTGGCTAAGTCCCTAATGAGTTGAAAAAGGAAGACCCGTCCAAACCCAAGGACAAAGACAAGAAGGGCGGTAATCGGCTAAGGAAAAACAGTCCACAAAGGATGCTCCACGTAAGCCACAACTGCCCGAGGGCAAGTTCTTAGACCAGTCTAAGAAAAGTGGTGACTGATCACAAATCTCGTGCTATTTTTGTTAGGGACCACACAAGGCTATAGAATGTCCGTAGAGGACCAATATTGTTGTGTTGGTCCAGGAAGAGGAGAAACTGCAAGAGGGGAGTTGGCTAAGCTCATTACGGATCATCAATGCTATTCGTGCTAAGGTGGACACGCGACCAAAAGGAACGATGCTCATGGAGATGACCATTGCAAATAAGACTTTAAGGCCTTGCTTGACACCAGTGCTTCTGCCCTTCTCTTTACGGATGACACGACAAGGAAGATATGGCTTGTGGAGTCAAAGTCAGAAGGCATCATCAAGGCAGCCCACGCCCATCATCGGCACATCATCAAGGCAGCCCACGCCCATCATCGGCATAGCTTGCAAAGTATACGTGAGCATAAGTGAATGGCATGCCAAAGAAGACCTAACGGTCGTGGTGATGGATGATTTGTTAGATCTACATCATAAAACTTGAGATCTAAAACCATATAGCCATGATTAATTCAAAGAGATTAACAAAAATTCAAAAGAGCGGAAGCTTATACCTGAATCCATGGATGAACCTTGAGATGAGTTTTGGATCTTCTAACCTTAGGGTTTCTCTAAAACTGAATTTCTCTAGCTAGATGGGGGTGTAGAGAATTAGAGAATATTACCCTAGGTTAGGGACCATAACCCCTTATTTATAGATGTTGTACTTTTGTAATTTAGCCCCTCAATAAATCACAATTACAACCTGGTATCTGCACATATAACCCCATGATTATATTTAAATACCCATTAACCCAACTTAATTGATCACTTTAGTGGGTTATCCTGAAAGATAGCAATACACATTGATTAATCATATGTGCCCACAAATAGATTTATTAGATTAAATCCAACAATCTCCCACTTGGGCACCATATGATTCCTTAAATTGTGTATAACCTTATGAGCTCAAAAATTGCTATCACTGAAAAGGTATTTCCGAACAATCTCGTTCATTGACTATATCAATATAGGATCAAAGCGGCCTTCGTCACATTTATCGTGACTCGACCCATCAATGGTCACATATACCAATACAATCAAACGACATAGATCAATCATGGATGTGCAGCATGAAAATTACATGCAATGTGATCAGTACATGTCTATTTTCAACTGGTCCTCCTTAGTGAGGTCAAAACCAAACATAATGTAACAGAGTGTCTTAACTGAAAACTTTATTCTGATCAGACAATACAAACAAACATAAAGCACCACAAATACAAACTCCCACTAAAACATAATATCCTCAAATAATACCACACCCATATGAGCAGTATGCTCATGAAAGACCTTAGGTGGCAGTCCCTTAGTAAGAGGATCAGCTATCATGGAGTTTGTCCCAATGTGCTCTATGGATATCTGTCCACTCTGTACCCTTTCTTTCACAACCAGGAACTTAATGTCAATATGTTTTGACTTAGTTGAGCTCCTGTTGTTATTGGAATACATTACTGCAGATTTATTGTCACAATATAACCTTAGTGGTCTTTCAACATTTTCCAAAATGCGCAGTCCCGTGACAAAATTTC